ATGGAACTACCCTTTCCAGCATGCTTTGAGGAAGCAGCATCTTAGAGCTGCATGCTGGCTGGGGAATTCTGGGAGAATCCACCCCTCTCAAAGCCGCCAAGGTTGAGATACACAGCTCTAGTAGGGAATTCACAACTCCTTTATGGAACTACACTTTCCAGCATGCTTTGAGGAAGCAGCATCTTAGAGCTGCATGCTGGCTGGGGAATTCTGGGAGAATCCACCCCTCTCAAAGCCGCCAAGGTTGAGATACACAGCTCTAGTAGGGAATTCACAACTCCTTTATGGAACTACACTTTCCAGCATGCTTTGAGGAAGCAGCATCTTAGAGCTGCATGCTGGCTGGGGAATTCTGGGAGAATCCACCCCTCTCAAAGCCGCCAAGGTTGAGAAACACAGCTCTAGTAGAGAATTCACCTTTATGGACCTACACTTCCCAGCCCAATAGAGCTGCGTGCTGGCTGGGGAATTCTGGGAGTTGAAGCCCACCCCTCTCAAAGCTGCCAAGGTTGAGAAACAGCTCCAGTAGAGAATTCAGAGCACCTCCATGGAACTACACTTCCCAGCATGCTCTGGGGGAACAGCATCTTAGATAGATGCAGGGAGCAAACACAGATTTATGTGCATCTGAACCTGGTGCCTTTGCAGAAAAGAGTATTTGCTTAATATCCGAGACTAGTGCACAAGCCTTGAATATCTCTGCACGTCCCTTCTGTCAGCAATAATTACCAGTAGGGGCCGTGGAAACATGCCTTCTCAGCTGCTGCCCCCCTTCCCGTGGTATAACATTCCCACAGATATTGGAGTGGCCCCCTCTTCCCCCCCATCTTTAGAAAGGCAGTGAAGACTCGGTTAGGACTGCTACGAGGGTCCCTCCAGGTGATGGATCAGCTTTTTCTGGTTCTCACCTGCGGATTCTCAATTATTCTATGATTGATCACCCAAGCGTGTTTTTGATGGGTGCTGCCTCTAAGCCCTGTACAGAGATTACTCAACGCTACAGGTGGATGTGTGTTGGATGAATGGGGGCTGGGGTCTGATCCGGTGGATGGTGCGTTACAAAAAGATTAAGCCCAGCCCTGCTTCCCATGTTTCTCTTACAGTCTTTGGCCAATATTGATGACGTAGTGAACAAGATCAGGTTGAAAATAAGGTAAGTGAGAGGGATTTTTATTTGTTTCCGTTTCAAGGAGGGGTGGAAATGGCTTCTTATTCCCTTAAAATGAACCACTTAGCCTAGGGTTTCTCAATGCTGGCTGGGGAATTCTGGGAGTTGAAGTCCACATGTCTTAAAGTTGCCAAGGTTGAGAACTTCCCAACCATAAAGTGTTTGTTTCAAGGATAAAACAACACACCTTTCCCAGCTTATTCATACCGGTAAAGGGAGAGGCTGGTGCTTTGATTTGCACCCTGTCGACTTCCTATTCATTTATTTTGTAATTAAAAGGATCTCTTTTTTTTTTTTAAAAGGTGAAGCACAGCATGAAGCTTGGTGGGCATCCAGGGAGGGGGGTGTATTGGTGCACACATGCCCCACCCTTGAACTAAAGCAAAGAATTGTGGATAGTCTCTTGCACACTAACCACTCCCATCCTGTAGAACAGTGTTTCTCTACCTTGACAGCTTTAAGATGAGTGGACTTCAACTTCCAGAATGGCTGGCTGGGGAATTCTGGGAGTTGAAGTCCACCCATCTTGAAGTATGCTGGCTAGGGAATTCTGGATGTTTGTCCACACATCTTAAAGTTGCCAAGATTGAAAAACACAGGTTAATTGCCTCCAGGGATTTCACTGATGGGGTGTGATTACTGACATGCATTAAGAGATCATCCCAGTTTCCCTTTTCTGATTAAGTCAGGGTTGTGGAAACAAAACCTGGAACTCACTTCTAATCTTAAAAGTGGCATGCAAGGCAAGAATATTTATTTTGAAGCTTGAAATGTCTCAATTTCTTAGTCCATTAGATTTAAGAATACCTTGGCAACCTTTTTAAAAAAAAATGATGCAGAGAATTATTTTCAGCCTTTTTATCTTTTTCCTTTGCAGACGATTGGATGATAATATTCGGACTGTGGTGAGAGCCCATACCAATGTGGGGCAAGATGGCCGCGAGGTATGCTCTTATCTCTTGAATTAAATAACCTCTGAATTAAAAGTTATAAAGATGATGTACAGGTAGTCCTCGCTTAACAACCACACTACAGACTGGAAAACTGTTTGTTAAGTGGGCTGGTTGTTAAGCGAGTCACCACGTGACTGGAGCTGATTTTACAACCATGTTTACAATGGTCATAAAGCAAATCATCACATTCATTAAGTGAATCAGGTGGCCGTTAAGCAAATCCAGCTTCCCCAATGGACTTTTTTGCTGGAATTCACTTAACAACTGTGTGATTCATTTAATCACCGTGGTTACAGCCATCATAAAAAAGGTTGCAAATCACGATCACGTGACTGCAGGGATGGTATGATGGTTTGCAATGGTCGTAAGTGCAAGTACAGGTCGTAAAGCGCTTTTTGCGAGGCCATTGTAACTTCAAAATGTCATTAAATGAACAGTCATTAAGTGAGGACTACCTGTATTTCTTTTGACCTACTCTGTCCACAGTCCTTACTCATAGGAAGAACTTTGTACATCTTCCCTGTACATCTTCTCTGAATGCTCATATTTTATTTATTTATTTATATTTCAAATGCATTCACCTCCCATCTCACTCAGTGAGCAATTCTGAGTGGTTAGTTGAAGGAGACAAAATATTACTTAAATACAAAATGTGGCAATGCTGTTCAGAGTTCCAGCCTGCCATTTATGGTTGATAATGAATTGGAAAGGCTTGGCCATAATCTGGTCAGGAAGGAAAGGAAAGGAAGGAGAATTCTGGGAGTTGAAGTCCACACATCTTAAAGTTCCCAAGGTTGAGAAACACTGTCTTAGAATAAATCACTCTTTTCTCTAGAGATGGAAATCTTTTCAGGCACCATGATTGACTGCAGTATCTTTTTTCCCAGTCTGTGGGTATTACTAAGGATTGAAAATGTGAAAGCGGTTTCAATCCAAGGTGCAAATTAGAAATCCAGGGTAGCCAGGAACCTAGGAACTCTCTCTCTCTCTCTCTCTCTTTTTTTTAACGTGGCTTTTCCCAGCCAGGTAAACTGCACACGTTTGCACGCCCACGGCCTCGATTCCTAAGTCCCCGGCCTGGCTGCAAATCCCTGGCATTGCAAAGTCGGAAAAAGGATGTTACGAATTTCCTAGCTCCATTCGCTCACGGGTCCGGAGCAGGATCCCGTTACACAGGAAAAGCTCTGGAGTAGCATTTCAGTCTGCCGGGGCATCTCGTTCCCAACCCCCTCCCAAAGAAAGGCGCTGACGAACAGGAAACCCTATCAAAATAATTGCAATTCCTTTCTCCCGGATTGCTATTTCTCTGGGGAAGTGAAAAAGAAGGAACAGGCGGTTCCAATAATAGCATCTTCCCCCATTCACCTCACCTCTCTTCTCCTCCAAAAAGATAACTAATTTGGGTGTGATCACGGAATCGTAGAAATATTCTCTTATCCCCTCTCGCTGCCCCTTTTCGGATGGGCTAGCTGTCAGCCTTCGAGATGCGCTGGATTGCGGGATCTCTCGGCAGCCTGGCGATTGGGGGACGATGGGGTTTGTAGTTTGTAGTCCCCAGGAGGCTCAGAAGTTACCTCTGAAGCTTTCTGGAGGGCACCAGGTTGGAGATGGCTGTAGCAAAGAGGGCCGTTAAGGGTCTTTGTTTAGCGGGGTGAGGATTTGCTTCAGGGTGGATGTTGGAGAGATCTTAATCCAAAGTGTGCAGCAAGTTTAGGGCGGGGTGGGGGAAGCGATGCTCCCGTGGACCCTCCCTTGGCATCCCCCGATTCCCTGCCCTGCCCAGCTTGGAACATTCTCGACAGTTTTTTAACTCGGAGCTAAATCAGCAAAGAACCAACTTGCTGCCTTTTCCTTTTTTTAAAACTCCCAAGCCTATAAGACGGGCTGTCAAACCGTTGCTCCTCCTCGGCGCTTCCCCTGTGCCTTTTTTTCTCTTTCTTTCTCTGTTTTTTTCTCCCTTTCCCCGGTGGGGGGGACCGGTTCGGCTTGCACAACGTCTGCAGGCGACACGCTGAAAGAAGGCGGAAAAAAGCGAGCACCCCCAAACCCGTGTCGCCGGCGGCCCCTTTGGAGGGGGGAGGAAACCTTAGCGGAACATTCCACAGTGGGGCGTAATGTCGGCTCTCCTCTGCCGTTCCAGACGGCGGCCGCGTCTGACGCCTTGGCAGAGGCTGGGAAAACAGATCCCCTTTCGGCTGCGGTTGGCAGGCCCCAGCGCTGTAGCCGATGGTTCCCCCGCCCCACCTGGTTAGCATTTCTCTTCCCTCCAGAGGGGAAACTATCTGAAGGGCTGCCGCTGAATCCCTCGGGCTGGCAGCTGGATCAAGGCCCCGGCCACTTGGTCTCCCACAATGCCCCGTGGAGGAATTCTGGGAAATCGATCCGGCGGGCACCCGGACTCGGTGGCCAGACCTTGACCGAGCCCTGGGGAGGTTGGCTGAGAAATAGCGGGATTTCTGTTGGCTGCTCCTTTCTCGGTGGATTATTGGAATAGCTTAACCCTTTTAACAAGGAGACCCCTTTCTGCAAACTTTCAGCCTCCAGATAGAGCTTTTTCCAGATTTGCAGGTCGGGACGCCCGCCTGGGCACGCCTGCGATGGAGTCACTTGGCTGCATTCGGCAGGATTATTCTGCGGTAAAACTTGAACAGCCTAGTGTTGTTCGCATATGTTGGACTGGGACTCCCATAATCCCTGACTGTTGGCAGTGTTGGGTGGGGGCTGTCGTCCGAAACACATGGGCTGTCTGGGGCTTTGCAACCGACTCCAAGCAGCTGTAGGACAGTCTTGGAAAAAGATGCGACCGCTTTGAAGAGTCGTAGACACCCATGGACTTTCCCGGTTGCCTCCCAGCCACCACGTAGCCCTAGCAGAGGGCATCCGACCGTCCCAGGATGTCGGCTTCGGCCTACGTCTCATGGAGGTTGCCCACCCTCCCTCCCTCCCTGTAACAGGTGGGAGGTTGCACAGTGAAAATTTAGAAAATTTAGAAAAGTAAATGCCTGCCTTGTTCCCTGATGAGCTAGCTTTCTAAGTGCAGGGATTTGCGAGCAGGTTTGGGGGTTACTGCTCCATCTCTTGACGCAAGCTCTGATTTGCAGTCTGAAGAGAAGCCTTTTTCCCCCTGGAAACCCTTTCTCCGTTCAGAGAAACCGCCCAGAGTCAGGTGGCATATAAATGTAATAGATCATCATTATCATCATCACGGCCATCCCTCCATTCTGTTTGGGTGCAGAGTAGCCCCAAATTCCCAGCTGCTACCAAACACCCGTCGGGACGTTCGCCAGCCTCTTTGGAGCAGGGCGGATGGTGTAATCCAAGGCAGCGTTTGCCAAGTAAAGGATTTTAAAGGGATGAAATAGAGCAGGCCGAGCTGCAAATGTGCCAAACAAATATCATCAGGGGAAAAAAAGTTGAGATTAAATGGGCTGCCAGTTGGGGAGAGGATGAGTTCTAAAATGAAAAGTACCAGGTTGATCCTGTCTGGCCTGAGAAGCTAACCAGAGGTACAGCTGCTGCTGGCTGGAGGCTGCCGAGAATCCCAGGATTTTAGGAGAAATTGGGAAACTGAAAAAACTTCCCAGAAGAAAGGAAGTTGCCAAGAAAACGACAGGGACCTGACCCTCGGTTCAAGCGCAGACTGGAGACGTTACCTTATTAACTGCCGTATTTTTAACGATTTGCACATCCTGGCATCTTGGTTAGTGAATGGGGCATGAAAGGGGGGGAAAATATCCTCGTTTTATTTTTTGATTTTTTCACAAACCCGTTGACAAACCTGCTACTGAAAACACAAGTTGGGACATTCCTTTGCTCGCTGTCTCTGAAATCCCTGGTGAGGCTCCCGTTAGCGTGGCCTGAACTGTATTTTGTTTCATGCCCTTATTGCTTTCATAAATCACCGAGTAATAAAACAGCTGCCCCATCAGATTCTAATCCCCCCTTTCATTAAAGCCTCGTTTGATTAAAAGGGTAGCTGGAATCCTCTTGTTTCTTGGCCGGAGGCGCGAGATCTGTTTGAGGACGGTGTGGTTCTGATGGAGGATTTCAGGCTGGTGGCCGGCCAAGATAAAACAAATTTAATTTTTTTGTTCCCTGGAATATAATTTATGATTCCTGCTCCCCAACAAAGACAAGAGGGAGGGAGTCTCTGGGCGTTTTTGCAGTTGCTAAAAACAGCTTGGCCGAGTTTGGATCTCAACTGAAGCCACGGCAAGTTCCACTGTGATTTTTCTATTTATCGAGGAGAGAAGCTGAACCCCGCTGTGCTGAGGACCTAAAAAGGGTCTGAGCAAGAGAGCCTTGCTTTCTCCTCTTCCACCAGGACTCAGATCCCCCTCTCAGAAGCCCCCCAGCAGGACGCGAGCATGAAAACACTTATTTTTCAGGGTTAGATTAGTCCTTGGATGGGAGACCACAAGGAGATCTCAGGGCTGTAGGCTACTTGAGGCAAGATTGCAGAAGAAAGCAGAGGCCAACCCCTTCTGTATTGTTGCCCTGAAAGCTATGTCAATGCATTCAGACATTCCTGGGACTCTAAACAGACTTCACCTTTCACTTGACTCGTTTTTCCCCCGTAACATATTTAAAGGCATACTGATTTGAGCATCCGGGCTGGGGAATTCTGGGAGTTGAAGTCCACACGTCTTCAAGTTGCCAAGTTTGAGAAACCCTGATCTAGTTACGTATGGAGGTTAGTGTGAGCTTCCAATAAACAAACCAGAACAGACCTTCGCATCCAACAGACCAACCTCAGTGGTTGCCAGAAACAAGAAAGGGAGAGGAAACGCGCTTGCTGGAATCGCCCATCCCTAATCGTGGTTAGACGCTGCAACAGCTCTTGGCTTGGCCGCAGGTGTGGAGAAGCGTGGGGTGCATCCAGGAGGGGAGCGCAGCAGCCCCCAGCTGGAGAATTGGGGGGGTGGCGATGGGCGGGGGGGGGTCCCTTTTCCCCTCGGCCTCTCTCGAAGGCTTGAAACTCACAATCCTTTTCTTTTGTCTTAAAAAACAGAAACTTGGCAGCTCTGTGTCTGAGAGTAGCTGTTGAGTGACTGTCTGCAGCTGCCTTTTTCAACATGTGGATGGCAGAGAGATAAATTGAGCCTGGAGATGTTCAGCCTCCTGTGTGTGTGTCTGTGTGTGTGTGTGTGAGAGAGAGAGAGAGAGAGAGAGAGGCATGCTTTTAGCTGCTTCCCTTTGTAACAGAATGCAATAATTTTTTTTCTTTGCTTTAACATCCTTTAAATAGCTGGCAGTCGTCAAGGTTTCTCCCAGCCTGAGCAGCAGATATTCTAGGGGGAAAAAAAATAAAATAAAGGAGAAATAAAACACTGAATCGGCTCTGGAAGAGCTCTCCATTTGGGGCAGTTCCTGGTCTTTTCATTGGCAGCTGGGGCCAAAAGTCAGCCCTGGTCCAGACTCCTCCTGTTTCAGCCATTCCCCGATTCTGGTTTTCCACGTCAAAGAGAAGTGGATTTGAATTTCAGCCCCACTTTGCTGCCATAGCAAACAACTTTGAGGAAAGCTGGCTGTGAAAACGACTTTGGGGGCCTTCTAGCTTCCTTTGCAGGATTGCCCTCGACTCCTACAGTGCTGCTTCTTAAAAACACTTTTTAAAAGTTTTTGCTTTAAGTTTTTCTCACCATTAAGAGCCAAGACACATGAAAGGTCTCACCAGATTTCATTTTGTCGTGGATCGGCAGCTGTATGCCTCCAGATGGTTTGGGCTCCCAATCCCATTATCCACAGCCAGCAACGGATTGCGACCCTGGGAGAGCCAACACAACTGGGCGGCATCCGGTTGCCTATTCATGACGAGTCAGGCTGCTGGCCACCAAGAAAGTGAGCTTCTCAGGGAGACCCATTAATCAGATGTATTGAAAGGAAAAGGAGGATCTGGGAAACTGGATCCGTGTACTTTAGCACCCCGTTTATCAGCAAACACATTAAGACAGGGCCACCATGATCTCTCCAATCCTCTTTCTAACTGTCACTTGCTGTAGGAAAGTTGTTGGGATCCATTTGCCTGATAAAGGAGGAACGCAGAGATGTTTCTGCCCTGCGATATTTTGCAAACCACCATTCCCGTTCCCGGATTCAGAGGGTTCCATTGCGTGGCCCATCGTGGGCTGTGCTTGTGGAATTCTGTGTTCCCATCAAGAGGACTAGACGCTCATATAAATTCAGTTGGTGGTCTCCTCGTTGCTCAATACGTTCACCCCTCCTGTCTTCTCCAGGCTCTTGAAGAGGCCCAGAAAGCCATTCAGCAGCTCTTTGGTAAGATTAAAGACATTAAGGATAAAGCGGAAAAATCGGAGCAGATGGTGAGTGCTGGGTTTATTGTTTGTCCTTAATACTTAGATCAATAATTCTTGGTTACTGTAGGAATGTTGTGAGCTGTTTAGCAATCTGTTGATTGAAGCAAAGATGGGGGTGGGAAAGGAAAGGAAAGGAAAGGAAAGGAAAGGAAAGGAAAGGAAAGGAAAGGAAAGGAAAGGAAAACGGAGGAAGGAAGGAA